TACACCGCAGACGAACTAAGGGAGCAGAAGAACGACATTCATGCTTTCGCATTCACAACAGTCATAAGAAGTACTTAAATGTCCTCAAAATATTTCTTCGTTTTTTTTTCTTTTTTTAAGTGTTGAAGATTTTAATTAACTTTACGAAACTTTGTGGAGAGAGAGCAGGTTTTGGGCGCAAATCGTGTCATGAAAAAAAAGAAAAAGGGCGGTTGAATTTATCGTGGTGTCGACGCTCTGCCTGGCCAGGGTGAGCCGCACAGGGTGGTCGTCAAGCCCCGGAAGATCAACGTTCTCAATTTTGATATCCGTGTCAGAGGCTTGCGGCTCCATGCATGACGTGGCTGTTTTGCTGCATTGAATACAACATATTAAAAACCTACATCATTCTAACTAGTAACGTCATTGGTGCCTTTTTGGGTTGCTTGATCTATTGAACGAAGACACATCTGTGTATCGTGTCGCGATCGGGACAGCGTCGCGATCAGCCTTCTAAAAACTGCCGGGCTATTCGCGAATGACTCGCTAACACAGGCACGTTTAAAAATGTCGCCAGATATTACGTATTTTCTTTCGTGATTACGTAGAAAAAGTAGTCCGTCTTTTGGAAGTGATTGTACTAAGCGGCCATGTTTCTCGTCAAGCGATATTTCCAATGCGTAAAACGCCAATCCACTCTCCGACGTCTATCTCTGGGCCCACCGTTTGCGCGAGGAGTTTTCTCTAGCTTTCGCAAAAGAATATTAACTTTTCATAGACCTTAAACCAGAGCTTAGCACTGCTAGCAGGAGCTCGTGCCGTCACGCTAACGATGAATCGAGCTCGCATCCGCCATCCGCAGCGTACGATTTACGAAAAGCCGACATCCCGGTCGCTTGGTGCTCCGCTGTGGTAGAGCGGAGCACCATTTCTATTCTAATGCGCCAGGTTTTCGCGTTAAAACAGCATCATGCACGAACGGGTCGGCCAGAATCATAGGGCAGCAGTATGATCAAACCGAACATGGTTCTTCGTTCGTTCGCGAGAGGGCGGGCGGGAGTTGGATCATATGTCGGAGGCCAGCCACCAACGCCGAGCGCAAGTTCGTCTGCCTCTTGCGCAGGGGTTCCACTGACGTCAAAGTGCCGAGCTCTGATTGGCTCTGACGGAGGGATAGCGGGTAGATCTCAATACTAGCGGCCTTGAGGTCTACCCACTATTCTTCAGATCGGAGTCAATCAGAGCTAGGCAAATTTTGACGTCACCGCAACCCCAGCTCAAGAAGCAGACGAACTTGCGCTCCGTATAGACTTGGTCCGAAATCGAAGCGATCCTAGCGGCCTAATGCCACACAGAGCTTCGTGGATACTGTTCGGCCACTAAGTCCCTGTTTCACTTTGCTAACCTAACTTCACAATATCTGTCACGACCTAATGCAGGGCTTGCATTTTGGAATATGCGACTTGCCTTAAATTTATAATACTTTAATTGGTGTCTAATGATACGGCTATAATGCTGGGGCACTTTTTTCCGGTTCACAATGTGCCGGAGTTTCTGGGCAGGTAAACACCAGGACGACTCTGTCACATAAAAAAAAAAGTATATTGTGCCGCACGTCCTGTTTCATCGTCTCTTCAATGTCTTAGGCTTCTTAAATTATCCGTGACCCGGGAGGGTCATACTGCAATGTGGAGCGGTAATCAGACTGCCATAGAGGTATGGGACGCGACAGGCCGATCTCCTATGCCTCGCTAAGCCTAGACAGGCCCCCCGCCTCTGGGGGAGAGGGAGGGGGGGGGGGGGGCTGTGTTTCAACGAGGGATCTGAAGATGAATGCGTGGAATGCGAGCGAGCACTGCCTTCATTTATATGCAGTGCTGAGATGCATTACTTTGTCAACGGGGCGATCAAAACCGAAGCCACGCCACTCCTCTCAATGGTCAACAAGAAATGCTCCCATAACGTAGTGCGCGCAGTGTTGCGTGCATGCTTTTTGGGAAGTAATCTGTTGGACACACACGAGTGCTGAGTCAGTGTGTAGCTTTTCTACGACTCGAGGAAAACGTACGAAATTCGGGGCTACGGCCTTACTGTCTAGAAAGTGTTAGCACGGCCCTGTATTCAAAGGTGCCACTCCAGCGATTTTTTAAGGTCGCTGATTTGCCTCAAGATCGGCTGAACACACCTATAGACAAGGCTGCACCAGTCCCCCAAGTATTGGGAGAAAATTTTTTTTTTTCAGGAAGTTAATACTTTTTTTTTTTTAATTTCATTCTCACCGTGTTTCTCAGACCGAGTACCGACAACCCTCAAGTGTGACGACATAAATGGCACAAAGTGGGCAGTAAACCGCGTTCCCAACTGGCTACAAGATGTTTGATGGTGAGAAAAGGATGATTGGAAGCTAGTTAATTCAGTGTGAAGCAGGGAAAAACGCTCGACATCCTGTTTAAGACTACCTGCGCCACCATTTGTGACGTCCCCCCCCCCCCCCCCCCCCCCCCCCCCCAGAGAGCCCCAGAGAGCGCATGAGAATTTGAGTCTTGGTTTCGGCATCATCTTCATTTACAACTTTCGCAGTAGATATTTTGAAATTCGAGACGAAAAAAGCATACCGTGAAGTCTAAAGTCCGAGTATTCAGATAATGCAATTTGTTTGGGTAGCTTAAAAAAACGATCGGAGTACCCCTTTAAGGTGTCATAGCTGTCGGACAATCGCCACTACAGCGAGTACACCACATCTATTGGCCGAATAATAACTGTATCTTGAGAAAAAGGAAGACCGATAATCCTTCCCTCCCTTAGGAGATGCTTTTGCTACACCTTCTGTTGTTCCTTAACCACCCTCGTTAAGATGTTGGGCGTCCGTTATTTCACGCCGTTCCATCTGCATTTTTTTTTTTTTTTTTGTAAGCGCGATTGAAGAAATGGTAAACACACGCGTGACGCAAGGTATTCTTGGCGTTTTCAGTACCCGCTTCGAGAACTCAAGGTCGCGTACTCGGACAAAAGGAGAAAGTGAAACGAAGAAAAAGTAAACTAGCATCAAAAGCCGGTGTCCTTACCGTGCCTCGTGCGATTTACCTGTTCGGTTTTGTCGTCGCGGGTGGCGTGGGAACGGAGAGTTTGGTTTATTATTCCTGATTTACATTTCACACAGACCCTGCCTGAAGCGAATGGCCTTGAAGTCGCAACGAAAAACAAATTCTCTAAGAAAGCCGGTGTTGTTGCAACCCGTTAAAAGTACGAGGCTGGCAACACACTTCCTTTTTTTTTTTCTTTTTACTTTATTGATGTTCATCGACTCTAATAAATACGGCGCAGCCGTTCCAACTTTAAACTCCTCAGGGGTGGCGTAAAGTGCCTCCAGCCGATAAGGCAAATGTAGAATCATTCTCTCGCAACTCCCTCCTACATATTACCCTGGAGCAGTAAACTTCAATGACAAATTTTATGCCGCGCATTTGTACGTTTCTCTATAGTAATAAATTTTAAGATCACCCTAGGTCAAGCCAGAGTAATGCGAAAATTCGGCATTCATATTTCCGGCCTAACTGTGCCACCTACTCTTGCGTGTGTAAACTCGTTTGACACGACTCGGGAACAAACGGGTGAGCCTAGAAAATACACCCCGAATGATTGCTGTTCAATTGCAGGTTCGTAAAATTCTCGAGCCCTTTCAAGTTACCATACTTCACCAGGTTACAGAGAGTGCACGTTCGCAAATTCATCACTTTCGTTAGAAATGCTCACATGTAACCTTTAGAAGCACACTCTTTAATCGTTGGCTGCATACAACCCTTCGTACAGAGGTTACTGTAGCGTTTTAACATGGACCGCGTAGCACTAACTCGCCACTACGCCCTCAAGGCGCAGTCCCGATGCTCATACATTATACAAAAGACACGCTGTTTGCTGCACGCATGATGATAAAATTATCTAGACAGGCGTCAAGTATATTCGAAACAGGGTTGCTTCGTGCACATGTATGCGTATCTACAGACGGTTTTGTACAACCATTGTCATACAAGGAAGGCCTAATATAGTGTCTGCAGGCTGTATTTTGTATGATGTATTTATTAGCAGTGTGGTCGCGGCTTAAGGGATAGGCGTGTGCTAATACTTTCTTACAGAACACGCCTGTAGCCAATCACGCCGTGCTTGCAACGGTAGGATTGGAAAGAAGGATCGAGTTTAAAATAGGATTTCTGCTCAAAAATGCTGTGCGGGTCGATGATCATCAAGTTGCACTAGCTCACTGCACACTAGATTTACCACATTTTCTGACGTACAATTTTTTTTTATTCTAGATTTCCGTCGGTGCTTTATCATCAACGCGCCATCGCGGAATCATTAGATGTTAACGCAAGCCGACATTAAACGGAAAACTAGGCTTCCGCTATGTTTTGTTTTAGTTGTAATTTATTCTGGCGAATTCTTTTTTCTTTTTTCTTGCGACGAGTGCTTTTTCTTGACAACTTCACTCCTGCTTATGGCTGGATTCGTTCGAAGCAAAAAAAAAAATTGTTACGTTCACTAGGTTCTAGGGGTGTGACGTCCAGTTGTTATGAGGCAACAATGCGCCAACTATTGTTTTCCTATGCGCTCACAGCCAGTTATCCGTAGTTTCCTTTCTTTTCTTTTTTTTTACACTGAATAAATCGATGGCCTTCACCCGATTTCGACTCCCAGTTAAACAGGGTTTTGACCTTGACAGAGTGTGGCACTCTCTATGTAATTATATCTCTTCCTCTAGGCCAACAAAAGATTTTAATAGCATTGGCTCAATTTCAGTTCAAACCTGGAAAAAGTGTACAAAGATATAACGGGAAATATCACACTTTTGTCATTTCTTGCTGCATCTGTGCATACTATCTGCACTTGCAGTAAATTACCTTTTCTCAGTGTGTTTTTCTTTCTTCGACACTGCCGATCGCTTGTACTGTTCGACTGTTTATTTTCTTGGGGGGAAAATGAAAAATACAAGGTCTAAATCATTCCTTTACCTCTTATCTTTTCAGGTACCTGGACTCCTCGATGGTCATGTGAGTGTCTCGTTTGTTTCCACTTTTTCTGTAAAAAACAGTATTTCGAAGTAGCTTCTTCATTCACGTTTTTCAACGATGGCGCCTTATTTACGTTCTGTGTCTGCATTCCTGAAACCGAGGTGTATGCTGAGTTCTTTCATGTTCAATTATCTCTCTGTCTTTTATTCAATTTTCACAGGTAAGAGTTGGAGAAGGGGTGTTGCATAAATAAGAAAGGGGAGTTAATCCTCACGCAAACTATTATCGTACACAAAAGAGAAATAGTCGTGGAAACCAAAGGGGAAAGAATGAAAAACTTCAAACAATAGTCCCATCCGGCCAAAACCACCATCATCATATATAATTTTCCTCTTACACCAGTACTGGCATTAGTTAATAGAGTGCTTATAACAATTGATTCCCAAGACAGCGCGTACATGCTTTATATACATTCAAGTAAATGGGATATGTTAAAATAATATTTTATTCGTGTCTAACAGATAGGAACGTCACATACCTTCAAGACAGATGAAAACCCACTGCACAAGTAAAACCACCTTGGGCGTCTCCATCCACTTTTTGTTGTTTCTATCTTCATCCCCCACCATCTGGTTTTCTAGGCTGCTCAAGGCCAATTCACACGTTCGCGACTATTTAGAACCGTGTGCCCTATCATCTTAAAACCTCTTACGACGAGAAAACACACTGACACGCTGGCGCCATTACGCGGTGAGGCTGGAACTGCATTTCACTAGAGCGATAGTTTTGCGCCATTTGCGAAATCATATCTAAGTACTACCAATGGGAAAAGGTCCTTTGTGACATTGACGCGTTATAAATTTTCAAGCCAAGAAGGAAAGAATGATGCGCGGAAAATGTAGGAAATACACGGGACTTCCAAATCCACCCGATAGGTGGTGCCAGTCCCTTCTCTCGTCGCAAGAAAGAGATTTCAAGGTACATGGTCCTAAGAAGTCGCGCGTGTGTGAACGGGCCTTTAGTCAGAAACATTTGTCAGCCTCTGCTACGCAGAAATATACGGAATGGGCTAAGAATACGTCCATTGGTGAGATACCCGCTTCTACGTCTCTGCGTCCCAAACCGAACCCACGTTTCCCGAGTGGACTTTATTCCGGGTAGCTAAATATCGCGACGATCTTAATCCGATTATTTTTAATCTGTCCATCTTAATCCGACAGTCTTAATCTGTTAACTGATTCGTGTCCTTCTTATCTACGAGCGGCGCATCTGACTTCACATTGAGCACAACTTCGAGGATGTCGCCGGCCACAGAATAAGATAACTGATTCGTTTTTGAGGCAACATATTTCATAGGCAGCGGAAGCAAGCATCCGAGTGAATGACGAGCAAAGGTTAGCAGTATTTACACTAACTCCCTAATTAGTAGCAACTGTGACCAGACACCGCTATATGTCTATATGCGACCGTCGCGGACATTATTTCTGGTGCTCATTATGTACCGACAACTGCCAGTAGATCAACCAGAGATTCAGTTTCTCCCATTAGATCTACAAGAAGCTACTGGTATAAACAGGGGCCGCTAACATCTTTCGAGAGAGCGTCGTCTGATGCAATATAGCCTTAGCCTTTCCTAGGCTCGAGCAACGATCGTTCCTCGGTAGGTTGCGGTCTCTTCCTCGTTGAAATCGTTCGCCATTGCCACGCGCCTTGGAGCTCTCCACTCTCCTCTCCACCATTCCCCCTCGCTCTCTACCCCGCCGTTCGGAAGTCGGGTATGGCGGTCACGATCCTTCTGAAGCCGCCGCTCGAAATCAAATCTAGGAAGACGGTCTCGTACGGGATACGGCACGGCCGGAGCTATATCACCGGAACCCCTAAAATAAGAGAGACAAAAAAAGAATAGCAGTGACAAATACGAGGTACGAAATATTTTGAATTGAAAAAAGGGGGAGAGGGAACCAGCAATCAACCGCACGCCCAAAGTTCACACGAAGGAAAGGCCGTATTGGGCACCATCTTTTTTCTTCGTTCTCAGCATTTCTCTGGTTTTATATACGCGTATCGAAAGGCCGAAATTGTTACTGTACCTTTATACGATGCACACTCATATCCGTAGCTAATGTTAAATGCGAAGCGAGTGCGAGGACCCTTTCCCCAAACCTCTGTCTTTTCTTATTTATTCCTCGTTTGTTTCAATCTTTTGTTCCGTTGTTACCTGAGAAAACGGATGCGGCTCGAGCGCGAACCTGCATCAAGGAGTGAACGGCGGAATCCCGTGGCGGGTATAGGAGGTATTCACTGGGCGCCATAATTGAGGGCGATGTTTAGAGCGCATGCTCAGAACGAGCTCACATTAATAGCCTGCTAAGACCGGCAACCTTGATGGTGCTAAATGCACGCTCCAAAAGGACTGCGGAAGCTCGCCGTCAGCACGCGCTCAGCAGCAGCGCACACGGACATGGCCGCCAGTGAATACTCTGTATAGGGAGTAGTCACTGGCGGCCATAGCTGTGTGCGCGACTGCTCAGCGCGCGCTGATGGCGAGCTTCCACGGTTCTTTTGCAACGTGCATTCCACACCCTCAAGATTGCCGGTCTTAGCAGCCTATTAATGTGGGCTCGTTCAGAGCATGCGCTCTAGACATCACCCACAAATATGGCGCCCAGTGAATACTCCTTATACTTGGTTTCAGCTCTATCCGAAACGTCGTTAGGTTTGGTCGACCCTCCTGAGTTTAGCGTTTCCGAGGTCTATCGCAGATTTTCCCAATGTGAACCCGGCTTTGTTAAGAGGTGTTCACCGAGCCACGTTGTGGTAGGACGAGATTTCGCCAGAAAAGGTGCAATAACAATTCGAGTGAGACTCGTTTTTTTATGCATTTAAGGGACACATTAAAGACGCAAATGACAACGTTTTTTTTTTCTTTTTTGTTTTTTTTTGCACCCAGAGTACAGTTGGCAACAAAATTAACTGCAGCTCGACGGAACGAGGGCCACATTTGCCAAATTCCCGTATGGGGAGCCCCTGTCGCGAAACGTCTTTAAAAAGCGAGGCTGGAACACGGACTGCAGCGATTTCATGCGCGGGGCAGATTGGTAGTAATGATTAGCCGAGCATCTAGGGTAAACTTGACCCCTCTCTTCACATAGCGGGATGTTGGCGTGATGATGCATCAAAACCAGCAGTCGGCCACGCAACCAGAGGCATCAAGTTCATCCTAGATGCGTGACTTCTCATTTCTACCAACCTGATCCCCATGCAACGAATCGCGGTAGTCCGTTCCAGCCTTGCTCCGGCCGCCGTTACGATGAACCAGCGCATTTTTTATGCCGACTGTACAGCCCATTGTAAACGGCATGTGCAAGTAGACACTCACAAAGTGATATCTCCGAGATCCGTTTCGCAGGCCGCCTGTTCAATCTTCGTGTGTGCGCAAGAGCGGCAGATTGCTCGAAGTATATAGCATGTCCAAAACAAAAGCAAAATTACAAGGTTTGTTCTCTTTCTTGTCCCCCCCTCCCCCCCCCCCCCCCCCCCCCCCCCTCAAAAGAAAGAAATACGTGTCGCCAAACGATCATTCTCCTCCCGAATGCTATCGCTAGCGGTCTAAACTAAGTCACTGGGGCCTGGGAAAGTATCGCCATTGCCTTCCCTGCCTGCCAGCCGGACGCAAACAAATACCAATATACATACGACCAAACCTCGCAAGGAGATTGGCTGATCGGTCTCGGTTGCCATGGTGGTCGCCATTTTGTTCTATTGAAATGTTCGAAGCTTCTCAATAATCGCTCTGAACCAGTCGTACCAAGATCGCTATGGAGCATCATCGTACTGAAAGCGTTCCTCGGCCAATGTAAGCGTCCTTGGCACTGTGCATGCAATACACTTATCACTCGTGTTTTTCTCTCCAGATCTGCTATAATGATATTTCTCTTCTTGCGTGTTTCAAGACAGGGTAAATATTTTTTAGTGCTTTCAAGCACTGACGCCGCATCTGATGAGGTACGTCTCCGTTCCGCCATCGCATGCAGCGTCAGTAAAACGGCCTTCTCCACATACATGCAGAGCGGTAAGTTAGTAATAAAGTTTTGCAACGCTGAAATGCCTTTCTCTTGCGTGAAATTACAATCCTTGGGGATTTGGTATCAAATTAATCTCTCATAAGATAAATCTCCAGAACACAAATTAAGTATTGTCAATATCAGCGAAAAGTGCTATTTTGGAAGTTGTAGAGGCCGTCCAAGTTGGGCATGCCCACACTTTGCCCCCTTGGAGCCCACATTTATGCTAACCTTGCCCCCGTACAGCCGAGGTCTGACCCACGGGGGCATTGCATGGGCAGCCTAAGTTGGGCATGCCCACGTGGTGCCCCTTTGGATCCCAACTATGTGCCAACTCTGCCCCCGTATTGCCGAAGTAGGCTCCACGGGGGCATTGCATGGGCAGCCCAAGTTGGGCATGCCCACGCTGTGCCTCCGTGGAGCCCACCTCTGTGCTAACTCTGGTTCCGTAACGCCGAGGTAGGACCCAACTTGGGCATGCCCACGCATTGCCCCCGGGGAGCCCAACTCTTTGATAACCCTGTCCCAGCATAGCCGTGGTGGAGTCCAAGGGGGCATTGCAAGAGCAGCTTGAATTAGGAAAGTCCCCGTGTTGTCCCCGTGGAATCCACCTCTTTGCTAACTCTTGCCCTCGCATAGTCGAGGCAGGACCCACGGGGGCATTGCACTGGCTGCCCAAGTGGGGCATGCCCACGCGTAATCAAAGTGCGATCCAAGGGGGTGTTGCATGGGCAGCCCGAATAGGGCTTGTCCACGCCACACCGACGTGGGGCCCATAAGGTATTGCAGGAACTGCCCGAGCCCACATTGCCCACGTGGGGCCGACGTGGACCCCCTTCATGTGTTACCTGGGATAGTCCAGCTGTTCAGGCTACCGCTCTCCTCCTCCTCTGGGCGTCAAACAAAGGCATCCGGCTGCGGATCGCACTGTCTGGGGCTCGTTCTCCTTCGCCGCATGACGAATCTCCCTGATGA